CCATGTTCAAACTGATGTCGGGATGCGCGACCAGATTCACCGAGCATTTGTCGAGGCTGCCGGAGCAGGAGCAGCGCGAAATAGAGATGAAGGATCTGTTGATGAAATACACGAACGACGTGATCGCCACCTGCGTCTACAACGCGTCCGTAGACAGTATCAAGGAACCGAACAACATGTTCTACGTGTACGGTAAAATAGGCACGTCCAATATGGCAACGTTCAAGAAATCCACGATGGCGCTGGTGCATAGGAACGCACCGTGGTTAGCGGAGCTGCTGCAACTCAACATCCTGGAGAGTTACGTTGCGAAATTTTTCCACGACCAAGTGGCAGACCAGATGGAGACGAGGGAACGGACCGGCGCTCGCAGGTCGGACTTTCTGCAGCTGTTCATGGACAGTAACAAGAGGAGAGAGCCAGGGAAAGAGATGACCGTGCAACAGATAGCGAGTCACGCGTTCAGCTTCTTCTTCGGCGGCTTCGACAGCGTCTCGGCGCAAACCAGCATAGCGGCGCACCTGCTGGCCGAGAATCCGGACGTTCAGGAAAGATTGCAGCAGGAGATCGACGAGACGTTGAGGAACAACGATGGAGAACTGACCTACGACACGATGCACGAGATGAAGTACCTGGACGCGGTGATCAGCGAAGTGTTGCGACTTTTCCCCATCGCCACGTTCACGGACAGGATGTGCATGAAAGAGTTCGAGCTGCCGCCGGCACGACCCGGCGACAAACCGTTCACCCTCAAGCCAGGGATGAACATCTGGATTCCCGTGATCGCGATCCACCGGGACCCCAAGTACTACGACAATCCCTCGAAATTCGACCCGGACAGATTTTACGAAAACCACAAGGCGGTCACCAGTTCCGGCGCGTACATGCCGTTCGGCCTTGGGCCGAGGATGTGCATCGGCAACCGATTCGCCCAGACGGAGATGAAGACGCTGCTCTGTCACATACTCGCCAAGTGCAGCATCAAGCTCGCGCCGAGGACGATCAGCCCGTTGCAGCTGGAGAAAGGCGTGATAAACACCACCGCGAGAAACGGATTCTGGCTGGCCATCGAGCCAAGGAAAAGTTGTTATTGTTCCTCGGATATTGTTTCCGCCAGCCCTCTCGCCTGCACTTGAATCTAAAATGAATATATCACATACACGATGTATGGTGGATGGTCGCATGTACGACTTTAAGCAAATAAAGAAATTTTGTCCTTTGCATTTGTCAAATGGCTAACGTAACACGTTTGATAAATGGTGTCGAACAGCTTCCATTCGAAATGGAACGTTGTCGATACGATCACGATCAGCGGATAATGGAATGGCAACGGAATCGAGTCCGGCTCTATTTGTTGAAATAGAAACTCTCAACTTATTGTTGTTAGTAGACAAAATAATGAGAAATCGCGTCTTGTTTTCTATGAGCGATTGTTGCTTTTGTTCCGCAATTCCACCACACCTCGAATTTCTGCATCTTTTTGTAGATAAACTATCCGATATCTCTGAAGATTAGATATAACGGCCTCTCTGATCTTTCGGCCACAAAGCAAATTTACTTCGAATCTTTGTACAAACGGAGCGTGTTAACTTTTCTGCTACAGTTTTATCGTAATACACAGCGTGTATCGTGGCCGCTTCGGCTAATGTTATTCCGCCGTGTATGATTTAAATTAAAAATCGGAAAGATTTAATTCAATTCAGCAACGTGTATATATCTCGTCGATGCGAATTTTACATCGTCGTGCGCGACGTTAACAAACGAACATCGTTAGACGTATTTTTCTTTTCTTTCCGCAAACTGTTTGTTAAATAAGCGGAAGATTTAACAGAGTTGAGAGAAATATTTTCAGTTTAAACAGAAACATTCTCGTTTACGTGCCCGTGCGAATAACCTTTCGAGATAACAACGAAGAAAAGACTAGCTAGGTAATTCTTTTTTTATATATATAAACATCTGTATTAAGTTAATCACGAT